CAGTAGGTCATAGGCAGCGTTACTGGAAAGTCGCATGGTAGGCAGCACCGCTGTAGCAACAGATAGGTCGCACCGTGGTGGGCCACCCAGAATAAAATAGGTAGCCCGCTATGGCAACATATAGGCCGCACGGTAGGCAGGTCACTCGATAAATAGATAGGCCACCCACAAAAAAAAAGCAGGCCCCCCACAAAAACAATGTTTTCAATAGGTCGCGCGGCAGGTCTGTTCATCGAGGGTGGAATGGTACTGGGCGAGCGTTCGACGGAGGGCCCATGCTGGCGACACAGAGAGTCCATTTTGTAGACAAGCCCATTTTGAAGCCAAGGCATGCGAAGAGAAAATTTGTCTGATATGCAAAGCCATGACTGATAGTTCGTACAAACATATTTCAAACTGACCTGCTGTAAACAACAGTTTCGCATTGAAAACAATTTTTTTGGAAGAATGAAAATCATAGGACAACGTTACAACTGACCTCCCTTTCCATCGCCGGACGTCTTCTGCAGGTCCCTCGAAATCTTCTGAAAATAGTTATATTCACTGACAAATTTTGCCTTGCAGTCATGGATGAGCCAGTAATGTGTCACTCTGGTGGCCCCTTGGTCTACGATAGGATGGTGTAACAACCATATTCTTTTGAAAAGTTGCCCGCAACATTGAAACCAAAGCACTGCGGTTAGGCTTGGTGTGAGAAAAAGGACAATGAATCCAGCAATAGCGCTATGACATGACAAGTTTGTTTCCGTGACATAATGAAGCAGTCAAGTTTGTTTCCGTGACATAACGAGGCTGCAGAAACATTTCTCATCCCCGACCATGTGGTTACACAACAAACAGTACCTCCATCCGACCATGTGTTTACACAACAAACAGTACCTCTATCCGATCTTGTGGTTACACAACAAACAGTACCTCCATCCAACCGACCCCCACCATAAGGTTCACCCGCAGCATCAGACTTGCTTGCGTTATCTCCGCTACGCCGCCCACCCATTGTCCCCATTGCACCTTTCCCCTAGAGCGGGAACAGTTCACGCTCCCACCTATCCCACCCCGCGAGCGGGCAAATCCCCAACAACGGGATTTTCAGCGTTTTCGGAGCTCGGTTGTGCCGGAAATTGACAGGAAATTTTAGCGCACGCAAGAACAGAGAGAGGACATTTGGCAGAAGAAAATCACCATCTTTATTGTAATAGTCCGCTGATGCAGTTTGAACTTTGTTTTTGGATAAGACCCATAGTGGGAAAATAGAACAGCTAAAAAAACAGAAAAGCAGCTAATTCGAAGCTGGTAATGCTCCCCCAGTTTCCAACAGGTGTTACTCTCCACCACTGGACAGGAGCCATTTATGACAACTTCTTCACCTCGTGTGTACTATTATCACCGTGGGGCAGCATGATTTCACCGGATGTTTTGAATTGTTTTCTCTATTAAATATATATATCGTCACAAACAGAAATATATATTCTGTTTGTGACGATATATATATATATCGTCACAAATAGAACTGCCTGGTAAACCGTAGGCAGAGAGAGAGAAGAGGACAACAAACGAGGGGCTGTGACAAACTGTTTCGTCGGAGTTTCACCGACTCATATATATATCGTCACAAACAGAAC